TATATATACACTCCAAAAAGCTTAGTGCATCACAGGTACCAATTTCTAATGGTCCAATTATTTTATTTTTAATTCATGGTATATACCAATAAATAATAAAGATCAATTTACTTATGACTTTAGACAACAATTGGGTAAATGCAAATAAAATTCCTAATTCTAAAACCTGGGTCTCCTGTGTAAATTTTTCTAATACTAAATAAAAATAAATAAATGCACAAAGCAAGCTACAATCTGACTACAGTTTTCTTTTGTAGTAATAATTTTAAAATTAGGAAAAGAGATGGAAGTAAAGCTTGAAATAAGGCCATGCAACCAGCATTCATATTTTAAATAAAACTTGCTATTGGCAATGAAATACATCCTCTTGTGAGGCCAAGGTTTAATGCTTCCTTTTTGGAGTTTAGGAACATTAATAAACTATTTAGACTTCTTGCTCTCTGATAGTTTATAATGTCATACAAACAATGCAGTGGAATTACCCATATAAAATGAGGTAAAACTCTGAGTTTTTCTTCTATTTTTTCACCCAAACTTGCCTCACAGCTGCATAATACAGAAGAGTTGGCTTAATCAATATGAGGCTATGGTGAGAAAGTATTTTCTGAAAGAATGATCTTAAAGAGTTTTAAATTTTTTCTTATTTTATTATTATGCATGTTTAATTAATTTAGAAAGTCACATACATATATTTTAGAAGATAAAAAAATCAATAGTTTAATGTTAACAAAGAATGTTATGTGAGAAGGAAGATCTGTATCTATATCTATTTTTATCAGATAGATCGATATAAAATGGTAGCATTTTTAGCTTGCTTTTAGCCACTTAGAAAGTAAATTATCCTAGGGAATTTTATCAAATTTTATTCTAAGTAACAGAACCACCAGTGAGGTTTGAGCCTAAGTTTGTTGGTTATTGAATATGTAATTTAATATTAGACATTATAAATATAATAAAAATGTGAAACAAAAGAAAATTTAAATATGGAAGAAAAGTTGGGAAAAGTCAAACTAAATGTTCATTATGTTTGAGAAGCCACACAACCCTCTTTTTCCAATGGTAACAAAATTTTAAAAACTTAGAATTGTCTAATATTTCTAGTATCTATGGGGAAAAAGCCTTTTCAGAGCAAATAGATTGTACTAGAAACATTAACCACACTAAATGGCCAAAACATTTACCAGTAGCTAGCAGATTTTTTTAGATTATAATTAATATTCTAATTAAAATTGCTTGCTGTTGATGCAGGTCTCAAAGGACTTGGTTTCATAACTTTAGCAACTGGTTTTTGTTAGTAGTGCTTAAAAATTTTTCCTAAGTATGTACGTAGAAGAAAAAGATTCAGAAAAAAATGACGGAACCAGTTCAGTCTTTTTCAACTTTTCTATACTCAATTTTAGTGACAATCTTTTAAACCTTAATGACTTTAAAGCCCCTGTATACAATGGTTATTAAATACGGTTAGTGATAATTATTTCAGAGCTTATGATGACTTATTTACAATTATCAAATATTTAAACTAGAATTACAAACATGGTCATATTAGAGAAATGTTACTGATAAAATATTTGAGCATTAATTATACTATTTTTACCTGTATTTAGGTCCAAATATCACCCAGCATTATCTACCCACCCATTCTTCTAGTTAAGACTTTAAACATACTACACACTGGTACTCTCATATAGATGTTTTGTTAAACTCCCCCTTCCCCATAAACTCAGTAATGTAAAGAGGAGTTAATTAAAGCATGCATTAATAACCACTGCATTTGTGTTTCTATTAGTTTAGAAACTTTACTCATTTCCTTTATTGTACTGAGGAGCTATGAACCCTCAATTTACATTTCTTGCATTATGAAAAAATCTCTTACAAACTTGGGTATCATTTGTGACATTTATGCTTTTTCTTACCTTCAGCAGATAGACCTTGGACATTTACTCCTCTGGCTGCTAGAAAACTAAGGCAGACATCAACATTTTCAATCTGTAACAGGAAAAGCAGTGAAAAAGTCACTTAGAGGATTATTTTTAAATAAATAAATGAGCTAGAATGAAACCAGAGAGAAAGAATGAATACTTTACATTCATTTCATACTAGAGATCTTTACCAGAGTTTAACTAGAATTATTTTGGCTAATTGCAGAATGAATATAAAGCTTGCATTGTCCAGTTTGGTACTTACAAACAATTCATAAAGGCCTGATCAAAAATGGCATTCTTACAGATTAGCAACCCACCTACTTAACATAAAGCCCTATGTTTAAGATTCACAAGTGAGATTGCTTCACAAATGAGCCCCAACTAAACCATCCATTCAGGAAGAGGCTGTGGCTTGTGTGTCTTGGAATGTTAGGATGTGGGTATTTGAGATCCAACCAGTAATATTTGGTAAGTGCGCCTAAAGATAAATAAGATGGACAAAGGGTTGATATGTCATGAGCAGAATGGAGCACATTTTCATCCTAAACCACAGCAAATCTTTATTTTAAAAACTGTATTTGCATCTCTACAGTTGAATAATTCTTTGATTAAATATAGGTATTGTCTTTGTAATTTGAGTAATGCCATGGCTTTTAAATAGGTTCAATATGATAACCAGCTTGTAATAACTTAGCATGACAAAAAACACCCAAAGACTGATTTAGGTTGATCCACAGGTTGATCTCAATATTGGCCATGGTATTCCACAGCAAAGTTAAACATGTAGGTCTTTTAAAAAAGGGTGTAGGGAACTAGAAAGTTTAAGTTCTTTATGAATCACCTTCCTGGGCTTTTTGGTATTCCATAAATCTTGAAATTCTAAAGAGGAGATTTAAAGTTAATACTTGGCAAAGTATTGTTCTCTGTCTCATCAGATTCTCATCAAAAACTATCCAAGAGGACATACAAAGTTCTGCCAATTCCTTCTCTAGCTTAGTTTCAGAGTAAGGTCAAAATGTCCTTTAAAGAAATTAAAAAAAAGGGATTCAAGAATCTGTCCTGCCCGGCCAGGTGTGGCTCAGCGGTTGAGCGTCGACCTAGGATCCAGGCGATCGGGGTTCGATTCCCGGTCAGGGCACATGCCTGGGTTGCGAGCTCGATCCCCAGTCGGGGGCGTGCAAGAGGCAGCTGATCAATGATTCTCTCATCATTCATGTTTCTCTGTCTCCCTTCCTCTCCCTTCCTCTCTCTGAAATCAATAAAGATATATTTTTTTAAAAAAAGAAAGAATCTGTCCTTATAAAATAGACAACTGCTCGTGTTCCTTTTTAAATGTACTTTTGTGTAAAATTAAAATAATGATATCCAACGAGATGGTCTTTGCTTCAAAATCATCATAGCCAGGGTATACACTATTCCCATGAAAAATGGGAGCCGTTTTCCAAAACAGAAATTTCCTTTCTAATTTCATAATTATACATTTATCTTGACCCGTGTATACTCAGTAAATATTAGCATATCCATTGCTAAATCAAAAATTGGATTTCAAATGAGGAATAGAGTGTGTATTGAAAATAGCTATATTTATTCATTTTAGTGTTGAATAAAATATTTCCCCAAAATGTAGTTTTTAATTAGCACAACTTTTTATTGAACTCATACATTTTTAGCTGTATGTTTTATGACACCGAGTTTTTGAGCATTTTCACTATAACGCTGCTATAATGTGTTTTAGGAAATGTACCTGGAGGACTTTTTCACAATATTAACAAATTTATACCTTGTTCATTCACAGGTTTCTTTAACTTTTACTTATGGACATTTAATAGAAATTATATTTAGGTACTAAATATGTGGGTATAATTAATATCAAGTTTATAGTTGTTGATTCATTTTAGACGACAGCACCAACACAACGATTAACAAATTCATTCAGCAACTACTGACTGTTTAGTATGGGTAAAGAGCTCTGCTAAGGAGTAAAGGGATATAAAAGTTAATTATAAGGTCTTTGCCTATGTGAGCCTGTAAACAGCTGAAGAGCCGAAAACAATTCATAAATTACCATAACACATTCCAAAATAGAATTACAAACAACACTGAGAGGCAGTGAAGAGAACGGGCTTACTAATTTCCACTACACATCTGGGGAAAGCTTCACAGAAGGTGCATCATTTAGACTAAAAAACGAAGTCCGATTTTGAGAAAGTTAGGAGTCAGAAGGAGGGGCCCGGGCATGCCTAGGGGAGCAGCTACGAGCTAAACGCTCACAAGGATGCTTGAGAGTAGGTCATGCCAGTCTTTACTTTCTGCAACTATGTTTACAGAGCTGAATTTAGCCTGCAATTGAAAAAGCTCTGCTGCCCCTTGGATTCTCTAGAACTACTGCAATATAGAAAGTTAAGGGACTGCAAGCCAGCAGCAGGCACCACAACTGACAGACAGAGTCCTCGCTATGGGCACAGTGCGTCCCAGGCCGGGCCCGCCCCGCGCCAGGCGCTGCTGCTCAGTTACACAGAGAAAGTGTGACTTTCTCCGGATGGTGACTTATTTTGTGACTTATGCTATTTTTGATTAACTTACACTTCCTATTTTTCAAGATAAACTTGTACTGTTAGTATCATTATATAAGTTAATTAAATAACCATGATTTCAACTAAAAAAAAATAGATAAGATGGCTCAGGTTAAACAAACTCCTCCCCATCACAGAATTCAAAGTTATATTTTTTAGCTGCAACTTTAATCAAATATAAAGTTGTCTGGTGAATTAAAATAGAATGTAGCAGTATTTTTGCATTAATTAAACTTGATTAAGATGTTGATTCTCATTCACTTAATTATTAGTTCACGCCTTTCTCCCCTCCTTAAAGAATTCAGCCCGTGGCCACTGGAGGTCTTTTCTTTTCATGTGGTAGCTGCTGTGCAGTTTATTCAACGTTTTATTTATTCCTGTGTGAGCAGACCCACTACACTGCTTGCATATAAATAGAGAAAATTACAATGTAAAGGACTTGTTATCCCTTCTTTTAGAGTAATTTGTGGCTGGCTGAAGCCTGGCTCATTCTGCAAAGAAAGAGAGAACTTCCTCTCCAGATAATTCCACTGCTTCATGGAGTCTATTCCAAGGAAATAATTAGACAAGTGCTCCAAGGTTCACAAAAGTACTGCAAGGTTCACCAAAAAAAAAAAAAAAAAAAAATTACTTATAAGGTTATTAATAATACCAAATATTTAAAATTAACCTAAATATCCACAAAAGGATGCTTGCCATTGAAATAAACCATGGTAGAGAGTAATCCAAGATGGCAGATTAGGAGGAACTTGCACTCACCTCCTCACATGACCACATTGAAATTATAACTAAATGATAAGATAACCAACTGAAGACTAACTGAACAGTCTTATAACTAAGAATTTACAGAGGAAGCCACCTCGAGACTGGCAGGAGGGGCAGAGACACGACAAGGGCTGGCCCAGCACCCACATGTGGTGGTTGAGAATCCAGAGGGATGCCTCAGCTGCAAAGTTTCCCCTCTCCCCCAAGGAGTGCGGGGTCTCCACCCCATGCCAGGCTCACCAGCTCAGAGTACCAGTGCCAGGTGAAGAGCCCGCATAGCATCTGGCAGTGAAAATCAGTGGGGATTCTGTCTGCCTGGGTGAGATGGGAGACTGCTGGAATCCCAGGTGCCCTCCTAACGGCAAAGTACACAAAATCTTGCTTGCAGGTACTCACCCTGGCTCCAGCGAGAGGAGGCAGAGGGTGCCAGAGTCGTACAGGGAGAGCACGAGCTGTGTGGCTTCAGGGAGAAGGTTGAAAAGACAGCTGCCAATGTCCTTGTGTTGTCTCTCTCTCTCACACAGCCCACAGATGTCATCTTTCCTGGGTCCAGCATCCCTTCCTATGGCATCTGCCTTGGGAGCTACACTAGCCCCACCCTGACAACTCCCTGAGGTCCCACCCTCCTGGCCTACATTTCATTTCTTGAAAAACTCTCAAGGAATTCCAGGCAAGCTGAGATGGGGGTAAGGGGGTGTGCCAGAGACACAGAAAAAGACTGAATTGTGGCTGCAGGGTGAAGACCACTTTTCCCATGCCTCCAACCAGTGCCACCGTTCCTGTGTTGGGACTGCTCCCCAGGCATTAGCCTAGAGCTGCACTAGCTCCATCTGATGACTCCATGAGGCCATGCCCCAACATAAAGGTCTGAAGGCCACAGGTGGGTGGTGGCTGGCCTCAGTGTACCCTGAGACTTTTGTTGAGTGGCCTCAGACCCAGCCCTGGAACTGAGATGGAATCTATATTAACCTGGTGAACACCACTTACCCTTACCTAGTGCTTCCCTGAGAACCTGCATCAGGCAGCTGATGTGCTGCCCAGGCTCTTTCAGTGGCGGAGCCTGAAGGGCTGCCGGCAGGCAATGGCGGGTCTTGAGGTGCCCTGGGCCTTCTGCTGACTGGCCCCAGGCACAGGACCGGTGGCAGCCAGCCTCAGTATGCAGCTTGGCCCCTCACGTGCACATTCAGACACACATGTTAAAAGGGATAGAAAAAGATATTTCATGCAAACGGCAACAAAAAAGCTGGGGTAACAATACTTAAATCAGACAAAATAGACTTTAAAACAAAGGCTAGAGTAAGAGATAAAGAAGGATACTACACAATGATAAAGGGAGCAATCCAACAAGAGGCTATATCTTTTTAAACATTTATGCATCCAACAGAGGAGCACTTAAATATATAAAGCAAATACTGATAGACATAAAGGGAGAGACTGACAGTAATACAGTCATAGTAGGGGACTTTAACACCCCATTGACATCACTGGATAGATTTTCCAGATAGAAAATCAACAAGGAAACAGTGACCTTAAATGACACAATAGACCCGATGGATTTAATTGATATTTTTAGAGCACTGCATCCCCAAGCAGCAGAATATACTTTTTTTTTTCTCAAATGCACATGGAACATTTTCCAGAACAGACCACATGTTAGGCCATAAAATGAGTCTGAATAAATTTAAGAAGATTGAAAACATATCAAGCATCTTCTCCAATCACAATG